CCAAACAAAAGAAGGCTTGTGTCAACCTTATAACAACAAGTTTCATTATCGTCAGACAAAATACATATATTTACAAATGATATCATGAAAAAATAATTTTTTTTTGTAGTAATTCACATAACATGTAATTACACATGAAATACTAAATAAAAATTTTTTTATTTTATAGAAATTCAAAGTCTGTTTGATTTAAACCAGTCTCAGTCTTTAAAAATCAGTTTAAGTAATTAGATGGATTTTGAATAAATTTCTAAGTTTTGCTGAGAGCTTATAATAGAATATTAGTGCTACATATTATGAAGAGAATCGTGAGCGATTCAGAAAACTGAAGCGAGTCCGTTACTTACAAAATCGCGAAAACATAAGAGAACAGCGGTAAAATAATTCAAAATAAACTTTTAATTCAATAAAATATAAGGGTTAATCTTATGGCAAATAAAGTTTATTCAATAAATATAAGTACGTATTTCTTTACTTCACCGTATTCTCTCATTAAATATCAATTGCTTCGTACTCTTGCTGAATAACGAGTATTTCGAGTTCAACAATTTGACTGTAATAACCAAACTGTTTAAAATTAAAAATTAAATAATAAAACAAAAAATAAAACAAAAAATTAAAAGGTAAACTTGGTTAAAATTGTAAGATAATTAAAAGCATTACAAATATTAAAGCATGAATATAAATTACAAATGAAAGTCGAGTTTAAAATGTCATGAAATTTTCATCTTTTCAGCCAAAGCATGAGTGTATTTAAGAGTAAAAACAGAAATACAACTACCTAAAAATGGTTTTTTGCTCACTTCTATAAACTTTCTTTGTTCTACATATTTCTAGCAGTTCTTTAGTATTTTAAATTAAAGAACTCTTTTTAACGAGTTTACATGAATTTTAAACAATTTGCCGCGTGTTTTTTAAATATTTGGCGCGTTTGAGCTAGGATCAATCTATGATCAATTTTACCATACGATAGAATATTTAAAAAATTAACGAAATTTACATTTAAAGATAGGTATTTGGTTTTGGAGTTATTTTAAGAAAAAATTTACAAAATATTTAATTCGATGTTACTTTCAAAAGCTTTCAGCACAAATCAACGCCATTCTTTTATCTTTAAATTGCATATTCAAATTGCAAACTTTATAAACTTATTTAAATATGCAGGAATCTAATAAAATTATAAATTAGATTTCCAATTAAGTTCTCCATTTTTGAGTCTTGAACAATTTTCTTGAACAGTTTGTTAGTTAGTTTCGCCGACAAGCAAAGCTTTCATATTTTATTTAACAAAATAATGATTTTTGTTAAATTTGTACCAAAAATATAAAATTGATTGCCAATAATAATAGATAAATAGCTGTAAAATCAACCTTAAGTGAGTGGACTGCTGATTTGAGGGATCTTATCTTTAGGAAAATGTGTTTACAGTGTAGCATAAAATTTGAAAAAAATACCACAAATGCTTTACCACATAATATATTGTTTTAGTGTTCGCGCAAAAATTTGTAGTAACACTAAAACAAATCTCATATAAACCAAAATTTGATAATTTTATAATTACATTTAATATTTTTTGCAAAATTGCAGATTATTACGCTTTCATGAAAACAGTACAAAAAAATACAATTACTTGCAAAAGTTAAGCAGAAGAATGATAATGTTATGAGTAATTGTATTTAGTATTTTTTGTGCATGTAGAAAATTTGACAAACAGGAGATTTCCTCAGCCTCAGAGCGAAAAAGCACGAGCTCATAAAAAACTGTCATATTGGCAACTTAAGTACATTACAAATCTGGAACTTAATCAAATTTACAAAATATTAATTAAGAAGTCTTAAATCGATTGTATCAATGATCTATAGCTTTAGCGTTTAAAAACAAAAAATTTTAAAGCTTCTTTCAAAGCAAGGGAAGAGCGAACCAGTGTAATATTTTGGCAATGTCAAAAACCAAAGGTCAATTGACAAATTATCAGCCATAATTCTGAAAAACGAAATACGCTTAGAATTGAAAATTGCGAATTGCAAATTCATACGTTTAGAAATGCAAATTGTAAAACGAACTTTTACTCAGCTAATCAACGTGTAATAAATGCAAAATCAATAAAACTTCATAGGTAATGTACGAAATTAAAACTAAATTTTTTCAAAGGAGTTATTGTAAGGTAATACAGCGAGTGTAAAGTAGAAGAATAGGGTATACAGAAAGGATCTAGCTTTACAAATAACTACTAAATAAAGTGAAAGTCACAAAGAATACTCAATAATTTCACACAAACAATAAAAAAATGTTTTCATGTTTTCGTAATTTTTTCTGATTGCAAAATTTCGGAAAGTAATTTCTACTTGTTGATGGATATATACATGGCATTACCCAAAATTTTGTTCGTAATATATAGATTAAATAGAGACTCTCTACATAAAAACACAAATCTTAATATAGTGGTTAGCTTTAACACAAACAAAAAGTCACAGTATAGACAATTTTGAAAAAAAAATTTGTTTTAGGCACACATTACAAAAATTCGAATATGTGCATATGCCTAAAACTTATTTTGAAATACTTATTTGCGCAATTATTTTTTGATGAAAAAAAAATATAGAGAAAATATATTTCTGCTCTTACAAACAGCTCTTAATAATGTCAGCCAAATACCAACCAAATTTCTATAAAAAAATCTGATGTGGTCAGCACATGTATACTGTCACTTAGTAAAGATTCATTTTGTGCTGTCGGAATCTTACGAAACATTTCGGTTATCTTTCGTCAGTAACTTCTGATGATAACCAGAACTCATATACTAAATTTCAAGAGATTCCATCAATTCGCTCCGTAGATATAGTAGAAAATGTCATGACCTTCCCAAAAAATTTATAGATTCCTTGTTCTAAAACCTCGAATTAAAATATTAAATTTCAATGAAATCAGTTGATGATTTCTCTTTATATACGCAAAAAAGTATATTTTTGGCCCGTAGTAAACCCTTTGTTGCTGACACCTGATTTCTTCCAAAAGTTAAGACGTTCGCGCACAGTCGCGCTTATATATGAAATTTTAAGTAAATCGGTCGAATATTTTTTTCAAAATGATCCAAATTATGAAACAGGTCCATCAAAAAGTCCAGTTACCGAGGCCTGATATATCTCAAAAGTTGATCAATCCTTATCATAGTCAAAATAAATTTGCATATAAAACTTCATAAAAATCGGTTCAGTCCAACTTGAGATACACGCGTACATACACAGGTCGACAGACCGAAAGGTTACTAGAAATGGAAAATTGAAGTTGCTTGTCAAATAGGAGATGTCATTTTATAGAGATGAGTAATATAGAAATTTTTGTCTATAAAAAAATTTAAAAAATGCTACTGCCAAACAACATTGTTCTTTAAATAGAGATAAGCGTTTTATGCGGATGTCTTTATATAAAGATTACACTAAGTCCTGAAAATTGAAAAGCGATTGCTGCATTGTTTCTGATAGCTGTCATACAACCCGAAAAGCTAATATTAAATCGAAGTTTTTGCGGAATGGCTCCGCAGGTTTGCGAAGCTGACATGCAATACTAAAAGCTATCGTTAAATGATTGAAAAAATTGAATTAAATAATTGACGTGTTCGGTATCTGCCACACGAACCTAAAAGCTAATATTAAATATTTTAAATTCTAGTTTTTATAGTGAGATTGTTATAGATGTCACTCTTAATGTAATGTAACTTTAAGTATCGCAATGATAATAACAGCTCATGATGTTTATGTTTATAACAGAACTTAACAATAACATTTGAAAAATCTAAAATTCTTTAAATTTTTCATATACTCGTACTAACTTTTTATTTGTCTATGTTTCTCAATGAATGGGGCTTCAAATTTGGAATTTTCGAACACAGTCTAGTTTTGTTATTTTTATTGATAACTCAGGATTTTGGACAGGTAAAACCAGTTTTGTAATATGAGAATATTTTTTATTAAATTTACTTGTGAAAATTTTATTTTTAAACTCCAACAATAAATGCCTAGCAAGCAAATTTATACATTCATTAATTTTATAGCCTTTCCACTGGTTTGAGGAGCAAAAACATTCGCTTTTGGTAAGAGTCCACTAAAATCCAAACGAAATCTAAGTGCGTTTGATACAGGACGTCTTGCTAGTCTGCATTTAATATCAGAGGGATGGTAGTAGCGCAACCTGGCTTACAATAAAACAATATGAAGTGTTCAATAATTCAAATACAAATGTGGCAGTAAAAACATTTGTATTTGAAATAAAAATACGGCAAAAAAAAACATTTAGCGAAATAAATGAACCCGTTTGGCTACAGTTCAAAAGTTACAAGATTTCCCCCTACCCAAGAAGATATCGGAGAAAACATTATAAAAAAATAAATTCTGAAAAACTATACACCAAAACCTCTGAAGGTAGTACGAGAAGGATGTTACATTAAGAAAATAAACCAATAATAGATTCGTGTATAAACGATTTGATAAATAGTTTAAAAATAAAATCTGAAAACTCATGGCGGAATATATAATATTTTTAATTATGATTCGTTAAGACTGTGAATAGATGAGGAAGAATCGCATAGATCAGCTGTTAAAAATACGTTTTTGATGTATGCCTGATTATATCTTGAAAAATGTTTTTAAATTTTCAAATTAAAAGCAAAATCAATAAATGAAAATTATATAGAGTAAAATCTTTATACGAAATAGATAATACGAAGTAAATAGTTTACAAGTAATTAGTTCACGATTCTTTGCGGTTCACGAGTAATCAATTACATAGTTCTATCAGCTCCCATAACATAAAAAAAGGTTGTCAGTTTGAAAACAAACATGTTTATGCATATAAAATTTACATGTCATAGCTTTCTATTATGTGGATTACTTTAAGTTTTTTAAAAATTTCAAATTTTGATACACTCACTTAATTTTATAAATAAATATTGAACAAAAGGTATATACATAAGATTATGTTTAAAATAATATTTTAAAACTTACCTCGAATTTTAAGATGACTATTCGTGTGTACCATTCTACATTTATTTTTAGTTAGTAATATTTAAATAATAAAGTATAAAGAAAATATTTGCTAATAAAATTACTAAGTTTTCAGATTTTTTTTCGAATACTTCGTATACATGTGTTATTCAAATTTCAGTACATATCACATTATTTTTAAAAAACTATATGCAATTTACACATTCTAAATATGAATGTTTAAAAATTATTAAAGCACTACAAAATTATTATACATTAAGAAACTATTGTGAATATAAGTACCATTTATTTATTAATAATATTGTGAATAATATGTACCGCTTATGCATGTTTCAATTTGCACTCTCACATTATTTTATTTTCACAGATTATTTTGTGAGAAATAAGCCTTACTTACAAAATACAAACAACTCGTATATATACATATATATGTGCATGTTTGAGGGTACATATTTTACAAGCGTTCTCCTATTTTGATGACACATATGCAAACTTATATATAATAATTTTATTTTTTGGAAGGTTTATTGATTGAATCCTTAGTCAGTCATATTACTTAAAAATTTTTTAGATTTCTCATTTAATTTCGCTCTATAACACACTTCCTTTTTAAACAGTTTAATCTTATCCAATTAAGTTTCAAAGTCATATAATTCAATTCTCTATTGTCCTGCATGTTACAAAATTAAAAGGCAAACAAAAACAAATAAGTTGTGTGAACTAATTTACAAAATTTTCAACTGATATTTATTTGTATTACATACGTTATGTTTTTACAAAAACTCAACGAAAATATTATATAATTTTACAATAATGTCGATTTTAAATCCGTTCCATTTTATGTGGAGTAGTTTTAAATTAAAAGAAAATGTATTTTTGCTTTCAGTATGTACAACAATAATCATTTATAGTATAGCCAAATACTTTACATATCCAAATTAAATCATTGTATTTTTTATTTGCGCACATTAACATATATGAGAGTATATTACTTAATTGACAAATCATAGAAATTAATTTATGTATATACACATATACATACGCTTATATAAAAGTACCTGTATTAACTTTTTATTGATTATCTCAACTTCTTTGTTTTTTTCGACTTCCAAAAAACGAACAAATTCATTAATATTTCCTAAAAAACGAATAAATTCATTAATGTTTTTCTTATTTGTTTTTTGTTATATAATATACATATATATGTATATGTACTTTTTTTTCTTTTTAAACTAATTCCTTAAAATCTTGGCAAATGAACTTAATTTCAAAAATATTTAAAGCAAATTTCTTATTTTTTATTTCTACTTGAGATTTACATGACAAAACGCTTTCATTTTAAAAATAGTACTAAAACGAGCACGGCATATTAAACTAAAACTAAAAATAAAACAAATGTAAGTTTAACAATATCATAGATTAATAAAGCAAACCGATTTGAACAGAAGTAAAATTATTTATGTATGTGTTAGAATGAATAGGTATTATATAAAAATGTATAAAGGTTATCTCTGTTCAACTTACAAAAAATAGTACTTTTCTTGTAGGTATTTATTGTTAAACCAATTAAATGAGACACAATTTCTATATGCATACCTATAAATATATAGAGTAAGCAGTATGGGTATTTCATTTGCAGAAGGTTTTTTTACATAATATATTATAATACATAACTGTGTATGCAAGGGGGCGTTTTAAGAGCAGTATAATGTACTTATTTATTTAATTATCAACAAAAAAACAGTGGCGTTGTTTGTAAAGAAGAACATCGAAGAACGCGTAAATAAGTTAAAATAGCAGGGGAAAAATTGAAACTTATGTTAGTACATTACATAATATGTAAGGTTCATAATATGTACATACGAGGATATACATATAAATGCTGACTTTGCAGCATTTCGAATAAATACTCTTTGAACAAAGGGCGAACAGAAATTTGAAAAACAAAATTTTACCTCTAAAAAACTTATCTGCTAGAACATTAAAGTTGTCAGACACAATAAAATATCAAATCGAAGGATAAAATAACACGTACGTTAGGAATATTTTTTATATAAATATAGATATATTTTTACAATTTTTTAGGTCTATATAAATGTACCACTAAAGAACCGAGAAAAAATAAAGTTGGGTCAAAACAATGGTTTGTATTGTAGCACTTTTCCCTTCAACAAGTGAAAATTCTGCTTTTAAAATACAGTCTATGAATACCTATCACACTATAAAATTTATTTTCATTCGTATACGAAACTATTTCTCGGATTGCATATATTTAGGATAGATCTTTGAAATAAAGCAAAAATTAATATAAAGAGGGGTTAACATACTGCTCGGTTTTAAGGTTTAATTGTGTGAGTTAAGAAAAATAATTATATTTTTTAATGTCATGGAATTTACCGTTAACTTTTTGCGTTTATAGAAATTTGAAAAAGCTTGCGGTTTCGGATATATAGGGTGTCAAAAATTCAAATTTTACAAATTTCAAGGGGCGATAACTTGAGAGAGGATGAAGATGGAAAAAAATTTTCTTCTAACGAAATGAACTATATGTTAATGTCTAAAAGCCCCTAAATTTTTAAGCTTCTGCAGGGTCTAGAAAAAAAACGACATCAAAAATTTGGAAAAAAAGGACTTTAGATAACGGTAAATTTGAACGGCCATTTTGTTTTTCTAAAATTTAACTATAGTATATCGCGCTAGGGAAAGCAAGCTGTTGCCTTTCTGCGTTTGCAAAATTTCAAAAATGCTTATGGTTTCATTGCAACAAATAGTTAAAAAAGGGCATTTTTAGGGTTTTGGGGGGTATAACTTCTAGAGAGGGGGAGAACCGTAAAAATTTTGTTCTACGGAAGTAAATTTCTAGTAAAGATCTATGTACACACAAAATTTCAGCTTTCTATCTTTAAGGGTGTAGAAGTTGTGTAAACAGTAATTGAAACTAATAGGCACTTTTTTTTTCAAAAAATTTTTGGAACAGTGCTAAAAAGTGGTTATGATTTCAAATATGATCTATTAGATGTCATTTTTTTGTTATAGTTCATTTCCTACCGATTTTTTACTACTAATAACATTAAAAAAATATGTACGATCGTCAACATTTTCTCGATCAATTCGAAGCTTTCGATAACTTCAAACGGCTTCAAGTGTCCTTCGGAAGTAAATTTACATAGCCGACTGGTTATTCCACAAAAAAAATAGTATACAATTTTTCACGTATAGAACACACGTTTTTCGTCAACTTTTTTTAGCAACTGACAAAGCTTTTCAAAGAGTTTTCAAAAATTAAAAAAATCGACACAAATTAGATTAATTAAACTAAAATACATTTTTCTGTACACGAATTTGTTATAAAATAAGCATGTATTATGCTAGAAAGAAACACATTATCCACTGTACATTACACATACGCTGCTTTTTGTTTTTGCTATTACAAAAGTCTTTTAATAAGGAAAAGTTTGTCAAAAATTTATAAAATTCAGCAAGGTGTAACAAGTTTGAACTACATTACATACTATTGAAAAAATTATATAAAAACCTTTGCGTATATACATATTTAAACAAATTATGTTTTCAGAGCCGATTCACGTTGAAGGCCTTTGAAATTAGTAAAAAAAAAACACGTTAATATCAACATAAAATGCGAAATGCACTAAAATTTGTTTTTTTGTACTCAAAAATTTCATTTTATATTTTGATGGTAGTGTTTACAATATAATATTTAGTTTTTTTTAATTATTAAAAAAATTTAAAAAGTTTGTTCAAATTACTTTTTATTGAATAGATGGTAATTCTTACTATGGAAGGGGACCGAGTTGCAGATGTACTTGTTTTCGAGATACAGTCTGTTGAGAAAAGGGTATCGGATTTTTCTTGCATGTAACTAAATATAACCAAATATTTTCGGTCTTAAAAACCATTTGATTTTAGTCATAGTTTTCGAGATTAGGCCGGTCAAAGTCAGAATTTTAGTATTTTTAAAAAATTCGAAAGTATTTTACTAATTATTTAGTAATTAATTAGTATATATTAGAAAATTCGAAATTTCATTTTATTTTTTTTATGCGCTACAAGGAGAGCTAAAAGTATAACATTTTCCTCTATCTCTTATAGTTTTACTAGTAAAACATGTTAAATATGTTTTAAAAACGAAAAATGTATGTATATGTAAATGTATGAACACTTTTGATATGCTTCGAATTTATATGCACTTATTTATCTGCAGAAAAGATTTGGTATTTTCTTTTTTTAAACATGCTGTAGCTGGAAAACGAATATATCCGCACCCCTACCCTTAAAGCTTTTGCGGGAAATTGATCAAAAAATCATCCCTGAAATTATTTGCCTCTTTTTGCGACACACTCTGTAGAGTATTTGCAGTACAAAAAAAAAGATAATTTTTCTATATATGTACGTATTTATATTACAAATTCAATGTGTACACATTTACGAATGAATTATAATATGCATACACATTCATATATGAATTATAATACCATATACATAATAATAATATCGTATACATGCTATTATTGTAATAATAGCTAAATAATAAGCTATAAAATATAAATTGTCAATTGCTTAACTTAAAGAAAAATTAAAAGAATAAAAAAAAGAAAACAAAAACAAAAAAAACCTTTCATATTTCCATGTCTATATGTAATTTTTGCTTAAACATACATTAATCTGTACACTATTTTTAGATATAACCTATACTAAATTCAATATTTACATATACATACGTATTTATTATTTCAGAAATGTGCAAAATACTTATGTTTATGTGTATTGAATATTATTATATCTAACTTTAAAATATTATTATATTTTATTTATAGGTACCTATGTGTTGAGAATGATATGTAAGAGGTAAATGTATGTGTTGAGGATTCATACAATTCCTTATTTTCATATTGGTCGTGTTCTTCTTTCATCATTTGAATTTTCGTACCACGTTGCGTTCCTAAATCTCACAAACTCAATCTGTAGTTTTGTAGTTATGAAATTTCTTTTTTTAATTCAAAATTTTTTGAGTTTTTCTGTTTTTTTTTTTTTTTTTTGTCATTTATTTATTAAATTTTGAACCATTCACATCATACCAAAGTGCAATATCAAGAGGAAAATAAACACAAAGATATTGGTTTCTCTTTTTTATCACAATACAAAGAATAGTATAAAATAGAAATTGTATTTTTACAAAACAAAATTTAGATTTTTAAAAAGAGGTAAAATTTTTTAAATTGAAGCATTTTCTTCTTCTATTTATTTTTAATTTCCGAATGTGTGTTAGTGAAAATAAATAAGTAATTGAGATTTAATTTATAAATTTTAATTCAAAAGTAGGCAAACATACCTTTACATTATCAATATGAACGTATGTATGTACATTAAAATCGTTTGTTTTTTCACTTTGCCTGCATAACCACAAATTTATTTCAATAATATAAATGCCATTTCAAATACACATAAATACAAAAAATAATGTACTTTTAAATGGAAGTAAAGCAGATCCAAAAAAGAAAAATTTGAAAGAAGACTAACGTAGACAGAGCCATTACCTAGAAAGAAAAATAGGAAATTAGCGACGTGCACGTAGCATGTATGTATTATGTACCACTCTTTTATTGTACATTTTGCTGAAATCATAAAAAAAGCTGTATTTACACATGTTAAGTTAAGATTTTGTTAAGTTAAGTTAGTGAAGTTAAGATTTTATTTGGTTGGATGGAATTTTGATGAAAAATTGATGTGTAAACGTCCAATCAAACCAAGCACAATCGAATGAGAAAAATAGTTGTCCAATTCCAATGAAAATTTTTTGGAAATATTAAAAAAATAAATTGTTATATAATAAAGTTAGGTAAAATATTTTTTAAAAAGTTTTTGAAAATTTACGTTAAAGATGTCTCAAAAAAATACTAGTGGGCAATTTAATTTAACTTATTATATCATTCGAAAAAAAAAGTGCTTAACGGATATTAAATCTAAAGATACTAAAAATTTTTACAAAAATGAAATAACAAATAAAGAGGTAAAAGAGGAAATTATTTAAATTATTTATTTTTTCTTATTTTTATTTCCTTTAATTTTAATTGACTGTATTTGATCATACATTTGATGTGTAAACAGAATTTCTCATCCAATTTCATCCTTGTCAAATTTAATCGTCAAATTTTGTTTAATGTTTGAATACTACTGAACAAAGTCTCATTATGTAAACATTGGATTATGTAAATTCGTACAACCCATTCTAGTAGAGTGACCCAATAGATGGATCACTGTGTAATTTTAAAATTAAAGTAAATACACAATTCATAACGCGGGTTTACAACTCATATTC